ACATCCCCCACAGTAGCCAAATCTCTCTCTCTCTCTCTCTCTCTATATATATGCACTTTTTATATATTACAAAATACATGTAAAATATTTTTAAAAATACACTTTCAAATATACTGTATGTCTTTAAAAATACAAACATATATATTTATATATATATATATATATATATATATACTGCATGTTGACATGCGTTTTTTAATTATTACAAAATATATGACACATATATTTTTTAAATATATTCTTCAGATTTTTTTAACATATAAAAAAGTCATTTTAACATATATTTTTACATATATTTGTAAATGCATTCCAAAAATGTAAGTTTGTATTTTTAAAGACATACAGTATATTTGAAATGTATTTTTAAAAATATTCTTCATATATTTTGTAATAAAAACAAACTTTAACATACAGTATATATATATATATATATATATATATAGCGCTGATCGAACTGTTGGCGCTTTATAAATACTGTATATTAATAATAATATATGTATTGAAATATATTTTTAAATATATTGAATATGGCCAAAATTGTAGTATTTCAAATATATGTCAATATATTTGGGAAGAATATTTTTAAAATATATTTCAAATATATTTTTCTTCCATGTGGGTGGACACATAGGATAACATGCTGGGGGGTTTACTGGCTGTAGAAAAAATTGTCAAAAGCCAAAACAGCCGCTGTAAAAACGTCCCGTGTACAGGAGGACTAATTTCTACCATGAATACAATGTCCCCTTCAGATAATTCCGTCTTTTCTCTGTTCTTGCTTCTGCGGCACATATAATAAAATATTTCAGCCTTTCTGAGAGAAGTTTGTGGAAATCTATAAAATGCTGAGGCTGGACTCAGAAAAAAGTATATTCCGAAACAAGACTTAAAAGTTGCGTCTTTGAGTGCACAGAGGTGACCAGCCAACCTGACACCCACCTATTCCACCAGGACAGGTACACGCCGTGCCTATTCCTTCGCAGCTAACAAGATTCTTCCCATAGCCGGCAAATGTCCAGACCTCCGGACATATCAGAGAAAACATCCAGAGTGTCAATGATACAATGTACATCCTTCTGGGGAAAAAAGGCAAAAATTCGCTCCAACCGCCCCCGAGCTCCACGAATATGTCATATCATTAAACACAGCGTACTTAACACAATTTCCGCTGTCAGCTAGGAAAACTTAACAGCCCTGAACAACACATTACAGGAGAGGATACCAATCCTTCGCGAGGCCACCCACATGGAAGAAAAATATATTTTAAATATATTTTAAAAATACATTCTTAATATATTCTTCCCAAATATATTGACATATATTTCAAATACTACAATTTTGGCCGTATTCATTACATTTCAAAAATATATTTAAATATATTTGTGAATATATTATTAAAAAATATATTCAGAACACATGCTGAAATATATTTCAAAGTGTAATTTACAAGTATATTTAAAAATCTACGTTTAAATGTATTTACAAGTATATTTAAAGAAAACCTGGGCAGACCTAACGATTGCGGTAACTGCTGACAGAGCGTTACATCTGACCCCCAGCCTCCCCTTCAGTCTTATCCAGTTGTCTACATTTAAATCTACATTTAAATGCATTTACAAGTATATTTAAAAATCTCAGTTTAAATGCATTTTCAAGTATATTTAACCATTTCAATACCGGGCAATTTTACACCTTCCTGCCCAGGCCATTTTTCAGGTTTCAGCGCTCTCACATTTTGAATGACAATTGCGCGGTCATACAACATTGTACCCAAACTAAAATTTTATCATTTTCTTCACACAACTAGAGCTTTCTTTTGGTGGTATTTAATCACCGCTGGGGTTTTTATTTTTTGCTAAATTAACAAAAAAAGACCAAAAATGTTGAAAAAAAACACGTTTCTTTGTTTCTGTTATAAAAGTTTACAAACAAATAATTGTTCTTCATAAATTTAGGCCGAGATGTATTCTGCTCCATGTCTTTGGTGAACATAACCCAAATTAGGATGTATTATTTAGTTTGTAGGAAAGTTATAGAGTTCACAAACTATGGTATAGATCTGAAAATTGATCAATCCTGAAGTACTGACAGCCAATCTAATTTCTTGAGGTCCAAGAATGTCAGAACAGTACAGATATCCCCCAAATGTCAGGACAGTACAGATATCCCCCAAATGACCCCTTTTTGCAGAGTAGACAGTCCGACGTACTTCATAAGAGGAATGGCGAGTTTTTTGAAGTTGTATTTTTTTTGTCATAATTTTTCGGAAAATTAAAAAATTTAAAAAATTATTTTCACTATTTTTTTTTTACATACTGTCACCAGTGCAGTACAGCGTCATCATATAACTGGCATGGCGGTGAACAGGGACACTGACTGGTGACAGTATGAAAAAAAAAATATATATATATATATATATTTTTTTTTTTTATTACATTTTTTTTAATTTTTTTTTAAGATTTTTTTTTCATATTTTACTATGACCAAAGTAGTACAATGTTACCATAGTAACATTTTTTTTTTTTTTTTTTTTTACACAATTTGCTTATAGCAAAGAATTACTTTGCTATAAGCAAGCATTTACCTGAATGAAATCGATTCATTCAGGTTTTTTTTTTTTTTTTTTTTTTTGTGCTTAGCTGTGATTTGGTCACAGCTAATCACATGACATGTGCATGTGATTAGCTGTGACCATTCACAGCTAGGCAGTAGTAGTATACAATGGATGGCATGAATGAAGCCATCCATTGTATACAACTGTCATGTGACCTGCTGTGATTGGTCACAGCAGGTCACATGGTACCGGCAACGGGGGCCGGTACTCAGATCTGTCATCGGCCGTGTCCGAGGTACACGGCCGGTGACAGATCGCCCCGCTGCGCGGCTCTGCAGGGTCGCAAACTGCGCATGTGCGGGTGCACGCCAAATGGCGTGCACCCGGAATGCCGCAGCACTTCTGAAACCGCCAATTGGCCATTGGCCGGGCGGCTAATGGTTAAAAATCTATGTTTAAATGCATTTACAAGTATATTTAAAAATTTATGTTTAAATGCATTTACAAGTATATTTAAAAATCTATTTTTAAATGCATTTACAAGTATATTTAGAAATCTATTTTTAAATGCATTTACAAATATATTTAAAAATTTATGTTTAAATGCATTTGCAAGTTTATTCAAAAATCTATTTTAAATGCAATTACAAGTATATTTAAAAATCTCAGTTTAAATGCATTTACAAGTATATTAAAAAAGCTATTTTTAAATGCATTTGCAAGTTAATTTAAAAATCTATTTTCAAATGCAATTACAAGTATATTTAAAAATATCTGTTTAAATGCATTTGCAAGTTTATTTAAAAATCTACGTTTAAATGCATTTACAAGTATATTTAAAAATCTACGTTTAAATGCATTTTTTTAGATGTTCAAAAATATCTGGAAAATATATTTTGAAAAATATATTTTTAAATATATGCCTTTGGAAAAATATATTTTAATTTACATTTTTGGAATACATGTTAAAATATATTGTAAATATATGTTGAATGTATAATTTAATTTTCTAAATATATTGGAAATATATTTCTTTTCCATATGGGCAGGCATCCTCAACGCTTGTCTATGCTCTCTTCCTGCAGGAGGAAAATAACCTCGGATGGTATCAGACTACAGGCGGCTTCTATTAGCATAATGGAAACAATCGCCAAACTTCTCCGCTGCCGCCGTATCAAACCGCCGTAATCATCTTGCATTGATTTGAAGCCATCAAGCATTAGCCGAATCAGAGAAGGCTGATTAAATTAGGACGCGGGCCAGATCCTGGTTTATCATGTCTGCGTTATCGGCCGCGTCCATTTTTTTCTGCGTTAATGGACTCTTCCTGAGACCGCTGTCCAGGACCTAACTGGATACGGAGTACGTATATAAAGCCAAGATATTCGGGGGGAGGGGCTATAATGAACTGCCCTTTGTACTACTTAGAAGCCCTCAAAACGGCCACTAAAATAATAATAATGTATCACATAGACACGACCCCGAACACAGTGAGCGTTGTGGCCGCACCATCAAAGATAGAACTCCTACCACATATAAAAATATTCTTTCGTCATAAATTAGGCGCCATGTACACGGGACACTTCTGAACGATGGAAACTGACAGCTGGAAAACATAGGTTAAAAAAAGTCTGTTTAGCCGCGTTTATGTGCGTTTGCGTTTAGAAGCATTTTTTAAAGATAAGCCCAGCAGAACCTCCCAAATGCCCAGAATGCACCGAAAAGTGGGAAATTATTAACTATTTCAGACTATTTCAGAGAAATACAGAGAGTAGAAGCAGAGACAGCAATATGTGTTGAGATTAGCTTAGGTGTGAGTTGCTCATTAACATTTCTTTTGTTTCCAAGGGTGGGAAAGTGTGTCTGGTGGAGGGAGTCATTAACCCCTCGCCTACCGGGCACTTATACCCCCTTCCAGTCCAGGCCAATTTTCAGCTTTCTGCGCTGTCACACTTTGAATGACAATTGCGCGGTCATGCAACACTGTACCCATATGAAATTTTTATCATTTTTTTGTGACAGATAGAGCTTTATTTTGGTGGTATTTAATCACCTCGGGGTTTTTTATTTTTTCTTAAACAAACCAAAAACCACTGAAAATTTTGAAAAAAATAAACTTTTTTTTTTTCGTTTTTGTTATAAAATTTTGTAAAGAAGTGATTTTTCTCCTTCACTGATGTGCGCTAATGAGGATGTAGTGATGGGCACTGATAGGCTGTACTGATGGACACTGATAGGTGGCACTGATGGGCACTGATGAAGAGGCACTGGTAGGTGGCACTGATGGGCATTGACAGGCATCACTGATGGGCACTGAAAGGCAGCACTGATGTATGGAACTGATAGGTGGCACTGATAGGCGGCACTGACTCGCACTGATAGGCAGCACTGACTGGCACTGTTTAGGTGGCACTGACTGGCACTGTTACGCGGCACTGACTGGCACTGATAGGTGGCACTGATGGGCACTGATAGGCGGCACTGATGCACACTGATAGGTGGCACTGACTGGCACTGATAGGTGGCACTGATTGGCAGCACTGATAGGTGGCACTGATTGGCATTGATAGGTGGCACTGATTGGCATTGATAGGTGGCACTGACTGGTACTGATGGGTGACACTGAAAGGCAGCTCAGATAGGCACTGATATGTGGCATTGATGTGCACTGGTAGGCACTGATATGTGGCATTGATGTGGCACTGATGGGCACTGGCAAGTGGCACTGTTCAGCACTGACAGCTGGCACTGATGGACACTGACAGGTGGCACTTCTGGGGCCACACTGATCATCAGTGCCCTGATGATCAGTGTACATGTCCCCTCCGCGGAATGCCGATTACCGGCTCTCCTCTCCTCTGTCAGCATGACGGCTCGAGAGGAGAGAAATGCCAATAACCGGCATTTCCCTATTTACATGTGATTATCTGTGATTGGACACAGCTGATCACATGACCGAGCCGACATCTTTGGCTCTTTCCCTTGATCGGTGATCCGCTGTGTCCAAGGGAGTCGCACATGCACGGTGAGAATGGGAGGACGTCATATGACGTCCTATCAGAATGAGAGAACCACCTTGCACCCATCATTGTACTATATGGTGGGCGGGAGGTGGTTAAGGTCACCTGGCAGGGGGTCTTCATGAGGAATTTGAGATGTGAATTGGTCATTACAATGTGTGACCAGCTTGGTAGGAACATCCTGTGTTCAGTGTTTTGTCCATCTGAGTACCTTGAAGACGCTTTGCATGCATTTTTCATGATGAAAAAAGGCTCAGGACAGCATCGGGAACTGGAAGAGTTAAAAAAATTAAATTCAGACGCAAACTCTTATAAATGCGATTTGCCTCATTGAGAAGCATTTTGCATTTGAAACGCTGATAAAATCGACTGCTGGACGCACGTTTTCTGCGTTCAAAAAAACCCCTGTAAACACAACTGCCTGTAAATGAGGATGTGTACATGGACACATAGGAAAACATTAGGGAGAGTTCAGGGTCTGCTGAAAAAAACGCAGAACAGCTCCTGACCGTCAGTTTATCAGCTGCAGTGTACATGAACCCTTAAAGTGGTTCTAAAGCCTTGGATTGAACTAACCTGGTCGTTAAACTCTCCTGGCAGCAGAAAACGCTAAACGCACGTAAACGCGGTACCGCGTTTAGCGCTTGGATGCTTATTCATATGATTGGCCAGAGTATTTTCCACTGACCTGGCCAGCTCAGTGGATTGCTGTAGGAAAGTCCTGGATTGTTTCTTGGATACACAGAATATAACTGGATATAACATTTATAGGTAAAGTTGATCCAGGGAATATCCGATTGCCTCTCGGGGGATCAGGAAGGAATTTTTTCCCAGCAGGAAGCAAATTGGATCATGTTTTGCTGGGTTTTTATGCCTTCCTCTGGATCAATTGTGGGTGTCGGATTATAACTTTTTTTTTTTTTTTTTTAATGGTTGAACTGGATGGACTTTTGTCTTTTTTCAGCCAGACTAACTATGTAACCTAAAGGTCTCAGAGCACTGAGAGAGTCTAAAATGTCAAGAGATCCTTATCAAGAGGCCAGGGTGTGGTGACCAAAAAGACCTGAGAGCACTCAGAGAGCCAAGAATGCTGGAAGCGCGGAGCGAGGGGTTTACAGCCCAGGTTTAACCCCTTCATGCCTAAGGGTAAAACAAATCTAAATGCCTAAGCACAATTTTGCAACGTTGAAATGTGTTAGTAAAACCGTACATATCATCACAACTACTTTGTACATCCATTTGGATTATACCGCATTTTTTTCAGGACAAATTGGGCTTTCATTTGGTGGTAAATGGTAATGGATATCTCCTGATTTTTTTTATTATGAAAGGAAAACTGGCCCAAAATTAGTAAAACAAAAATATTTTTTTTATTTAGCTGTATGTTTCTTGTTACGACTATAACCTACCACCAAAGAACAACCCAAAAAAAATTCTCCAGCTCTTGACGATCGCAGCGATACCATATATGTGTATGTTATTTGTTGTTTGTACCCGTAGTACAGCCCAGAAACAATAGTGCGCATTTTGTTTTTGTCTTTTTTTTTTTACCTAAAACACACTGACATTGACACTAACTGACACTGATACCAAATTTTTTTTAAATCCTGAGCTTTCACCCTGACCTTGACCCAAACAATAACCCTGGCACTGAACTAGATCAAACCTTGATCTAGGTATTTTTTCTTCATTTTTTATTTTATTTTTTAATATTTATATATTTTTTTTTTTTTTTTTACAAACTTTTTTTTCTCTCTATGCCAGGAGTTAGAGAGATATAATGTGTCTCTCTCCTCCATTCATAGAGAGAGAAAAAAAACAAGGGGGCAGGGCTGTACAGTGACTGATTACTGTGATAGCCAATCAGAGGCTATCATGTGACCAGGAATCGGGAGTCCCGGGTTCCGATCATTAGAATGGGACACGGGGCTCTCAGTGACACCACGGTCTTTGGCTGGGAGCGCGCAGTGCAGCGCACTCCCAGCACAAAGACAGGTATGGAAATATGTGGCCCCACGGAAAAAAGCCCAGTTCTGTGAGGCCGCATATTTGTGTGACATCTGCGTCAAGGGGTTAGGGCCAAGCAGTGGCGCTGTTGAGAAAAGGAAGCCAGGTGGTTTGGTATTACTACTTGTTTCCTGATTGGATGGTGAAAACCCCCCAGTATGGGCAACTGCTTTATGTTGAACTTTCATTTTGTTCAACCACTAGACCTCCTGAAGATTTTACCCTTCATGACCAGACCGTTTTTCGGCAATTTAATTAGTAATTGCACAGTTACACAAGGCTGTACCCAAACAAAATTTATATCATTTTTTTCCACACAAATAGAGCTTTCTTTTGGTAGTGTTTGATCACCGCTGGGTTTTTTTGTAGTAGACTAAATTTTTGAAGACATTTTATTTTTTTCATTATTATAATTAAAATAAAAATGAAAAAGAAGACAGAAAATTTTGAAAAAAAAATACAATATTTTTTACTTTTCTGCTATAATATATATTCAATAAAAAAAATAAAATGTCTTCATAAATTTAGTCTACTATATGTCTTTGGCAAAAAAAAAAAAAGCCCAATACTGGAATTTTTATTTATTTATTTTTATACTAGTAATGGCGGCGATCAGCAACATATAGTGGGACTGTAATAGTGCGGAGCGCAATCTGACTCTAGCTGACACTGGCTGGGGGGGGGGGGGTACATTAACTGACTGACACTGACATCAATAGTGACACTAATACAGAGAATGGTGCTAATACCATACGCTGTCACTGTACTAATGAAACTGGGCAGGGGTTAACATCTAGGGGCAATTAAGGGGTTAACTGTGTGCCTACCCATATGGAAGAAAAATATATTTGAAATATATTTAAAAAAAAATTTTCTTCTTCCCAAATTTATTGACATTCATTTGAAATACTACATTTTTGGCCATATTCAAAATATTTACTGCATGTTGAAATGCTTTATTACAAAATATATGACAAATATTTTTTTAAATACATTTCAAATATACTGTATGTCTTTAAAAAGCTAAATTTTAAATTGACTTTTTATATGTTAAAAAAAATCTGAAGAATATATTTTTAAAAAATATATTTTTAAAAATATTTGGTCATATTCATATATTTCAATATATATATATATATATATATATATATATATATATATATATATACTGCATGTTGAAATATGTTTTTATTATAAAATATATGAAAAATATTTTAAAAAGCTAAATTTTTGGAATGCATTTACAAATATATGTAAAAACTATATGTTAAATTGACTTTTTATATGTTAAAAAAATCTGAAGAATATATTTTAAAAAATATTTGGTCATATTCAATATATTTCAAAATATATTTCAATATATATATATATATATATATATATATATATATATATATATATACTGAATGTTGAAATAGGTTTTTATTATAAAATATATGAAAAATATTTTTAAAAATATATTTTTTTAAAATATATTCTTCAGATTTTTTTTAACATATAAAAAAAAGTCATTTTAACATATATCTTTGCATATATTTGTAAATGCATTCCAAAAATGTAGATCTGTATTTTTAAAGACATATAGTATATTTGAAGTTTATTTTTAAAAATATTTTTCATATATTGTGTAATAAAAATGCATTTCAACATGCAGTATATATATAAGTCGCACCCAATATTATTATTATTATACAGTATTTATATAGCGCTAAAAGGTTTGCTCAGCACTGTACATTATAGTGGGGGACAGAACATGAGACAATACAGCAACAAACAATACACGAGGGGTTCAAGGGCCCTGCTCCTTGGAGCTTACAATCTAGGAGATATGACCTGGTGTAACGGAACCGACCCCAGACTGCGCTTAGTTACTTCCGTTAGACTTCCCTGTCTGAAAATTGACAACAGACACCCTGAAAGCCCTGTAGAAGTCATGTGTTAGCGTGACGTAACGCGTAGGAATAGAGCGTGGTGACGTCATTAATCACCATCTTGGGACTCCTTGTATGAACACCTGACTGGGGGTTACACAGTACATGCCCGCTGGGTCTGTGACCCTTGTTTTTATGTGAGTTGCCATTTGGCTGTTTTTGATTTTTTAAATAAATATCTAATTACTACACTATGGAAGTTCTATCTTTGACTTCTTTTTGAGCCATCTGAAGACCCCTTAAAGATGTTTGATCCTTTATCTGATTTCGGTGGGAGCTGTTCCTGTGTCCACTTAAAGGGAGAGATCCATCCAACCAGGCATCATCCGGGGATATTGAGTGCTCTAGGACTCCTTGAGGGTCGAATTTTTGAGGAGAGCGCACACACTAGAAGGTGATGGATAAAATTGGCGCCATTAATATGAGCACGCAACAAAAAGTTGGAATATAAAAGTAGAAGAATTGAAAAATCTGGATTTTTATATTATATATATATTTTTTTTTGTGTTATAATTATTTTTTTCACTTGTTGGGACTAATTTCTTCGCTTTTTGGGACTTTTTTTTATTTCTTTATATCGATTGATATATGTCACGGTTTTATAATTGGTCATTTTGATTTTATATTTAATTTGGAATGTATTTCACCTTTAATTAAGGTAATAAGGATACACAAGGTTTATTAATATTTTTTTCACTTTAATATGATTTATATTATGATTTGCCAATATAGTATTTTAGTATTTACAGCGCTACACCATTTGTTCAAAATAATTTAGACACCACAGCAGACCATACAAAACTAGACGACACCAGTCTGGAAGTAAACCAGGAAGTAGACTAGTTTATTTGAACACAGATACAAGATATATACATTCAAGGGAACACCCCCCCCCCCCGTCCCCGTCCCCGTCCCTGCATAAGGACACAGGGTGGGGCAATGTACATTTAGTAACAAGAGACACACCAACAGACAGTTCCATCAGGAGGGAGGGCTGCTGGAGACACCTCCCACCAAGCCAATACCCGTAAACACATACATCCCATAATAGTTTGCTCCCAAGCAAGACACACAATAGAACAATGGGATGCAACCACATAACACCAAACAATCCACAACCCCCACCCCACCTATCTCCTAGACATGTCTACACAATATGAGGACAGATCACCCTGTACCCTAACAGGCACAGGGTGACTTACACATAAGAGGGATATGGGGTGCTGAGACCAGGGTCTCCCCACCTCTCCAAAGTGAGCTGTGTTCCATGGGCCCCCCACCCAAAGTCACTCCCGGGGTGTAAAAATACAACCATTCACACTCATCTTGGGGACATGCTGACTTCAGACACGATTTGCAAGACATCTGACACAGATATCTATGCAAATCGCACCAAAAGTACTACTTTAGAAGTCGGTGCGGCTCCGACCAAGTCAGATCCACACCGATATGATGGCTCCAACTGCAGACAATAGAGTGCGACTTGGCATGGGATTCCCAAGTCGCAGGGCAAATTGGATATTCCCTGGATCTACTTTACCTATACTATAGCTAGTTATATCAAAAATAATAAAACCGATATATAGAGTGGAACACGGCTGCCGCTTCCCGGCCAAGCCATTTCTTGCTCTACTGCGCTGCACTGCAATTGCTCGGTCATGCAACACTGTACAAAAATGAAATTTAGATCATTTTTTTTTCACACAAATAGAGCTTTCTTTTGATGGTATTTGATCATTGCTGGGTTTTTATTGTTTGTGCTATAAATGAAAAAAGACCGAACATTTAAAAAAAAAACTTTTTGCTATAAAATATCCAATTTAAAAAAAAAATTAAATTTCTTCACAAATTTAGGCCAAAATGTTTTCTGCTACATGTATTTGGTAACAAAAAATCCCAATAAGTGTTTAATAACGGGTTTGCATGAAAATGATCTACAAACTATGGTATAGATACTGAAATTTATATATTTTTTTTCTTTATATTTGTAATGGCAGCAATCCTTGACTTATAGTGGGACTGTGACAGCACAGCGGGAATTCTGACACTGGGTGGGATGGCGGCGATCAGCGACTTATTGCAGGACTGCGGCGGGCATTCTGACACTGGGGGGGAACTGACTAACTGCCGCTGATGTCTCCAGTGACACCAATACACTGATCAGTGCTAATAAAAAGCACTGACACTGTGCTAATGGCACTGGGCCCATTCTGACACTGGGTGGGATGGCGGCGATCAGCGACTTATTGCAGGACTGCGACGGGCATTCTAACAGTGGGGCTGAACTGACTAACTGCCCCTGACGTCTCCAGTGACACCAATACAGTGATCAGTGCTAATAAAAAGCACTGACACTGTACTAATGGCACTGGGCAGGAAGGGGTTAACATCTGGGGGCGATCGAAGGGTTACCTGTGTGGGAGTGTTATTGTGTGTGTGTACTATGTGCTATTTCACTAGGGGATGTGCTGGTTTTTATTCCCTGCTTTGCAAAGAGATAAAAACTGGCACATCCCTGTTGACAGGAGACAGATCTGTATTGGTTTACATTCACAGATCTCTCTCCTGGCAGTTGCTCCGCTGATCTCCGGGTGATTGACATGTAAGGGAGCCAAGGACAGCGCAGGAGGGGAAAAGAAGATTAACGTGTGTGTGTATATATATACATATATATATATGTGTGTGTGTGTGTATATATATATATATATATATATATATATATATATATATATATATATAGGCCTACCTGTCCTGCCGTTGCATATAGAGGTTCATGAATTGTAACATCCCAAAAATGTTGATCGTTTGATTACTCTCACGAAAGCAAAATAGCTAATATGTGACAATGCTTGCTCTCTCGCCACTTATGTAGGTTTCTATAATTTTTTCCACTTCACTCTCGCCCTATAGAAGTTTTACTGCTACAGGGCGGCACTCCTGTGCAAAATCAAGTATATATATATATATATATATATATATATATATACGTGTTTTAGCACTTCCTGCCGGCGGAACGCTTCTGCTATGACCTGCTGTCATCATTGCACCTGCGGATCGTCAGGCAGAGAGGATGAACAGAGCTGTATCTATGTTGTGACAGGTGGGAGTGATCGATCGTGTTTCCCTGCAGAGCTGGGAACACGATCCATCACTTCTTCTTGTTCCAGCACCACCTAGTGTACACCAAGCACATAGCTAGGCACACACTTAATCCTTTGATCACCCTAGATGTTAACTCATTCCTAACCAGTGTCATTAGTACAGTAATCAGTGTATATTTTTAGCACTGATCACTGTAATAGTGTCTGGTTCCCAGAACGTGTCAGCTAGTGTAAAAATGTCCGCCGCAATATCGCAGTCCCGCTATAAGCCGCTGATCAGCACCATTACTTATGAAAGCAAAATAGCTTGTGCTCTCACCACTTATGTAGGTTTCTATCATTCTTTCTACTTTACCCTCGCTCTATAGCAGTTTTACTGCTACAGGGCGTTACTCCTGTGCAAAATCAAGTGTATATATATATATATATACGTGTTTTAGCACTTCCTGCCGGCGGAACGCTTCTGCTATGAACTACTGTCATCATTGCACCTGCGGATCATCAGGCAGAGAGGAAGAACAGAGATGTACCTATGTTGTGACAGGTGGGAGAGTGATCGATCGTGTGTCCCTGCAGAGCTGGGAACACGGTCCATCACTTCTTCTTGTTCCAGCACCACCTAGTGTACACCAAGTGCATAGCTAGGCACACACTTTACCCTTTGATCACCCTAGATGTTAACCCATTCCCAACCAGTGTCATTAGTACAGTAATCAGTGTATATTTTTTAGCACTGATCACTGTATTAGTGTCTGGTTCCCAGAACGTGTCAGTTAGTGTAAAAATGTCCGCCGCAATATCTCAGTCCCGCTATAAACCGCTGATCGGCACCATTACTGATATTAAAAAAAATGTAAAAATTTCCACTATATATCCCATAGTTTGTAGACTCTATAACTTTTGTGCAAACGAATCAATATACGCTTATTTTACCAAAAATATGTAGCAGAATACATTTTGGCCTAAATTTATGAAGAAATTTGATTTTTTTAAATTTTTTTTATTTTTTATGTTTTATAGTAGAAGTAGAAACAATATAGGTACATACCAGGGGCGGACTGACCATTCGAGAACTCGGGCACTGCCCGAGGACACGGGTCAGTAGGGGGCCCCATGAGATGCCCCTGGTACCTTTCATAGGCTTTTTTGGGTGTGGTTTGAGTGTGGGAGAGGACACAGGGGCCCCATGATCCCCTATTGCCCGGGGGCCCCATGAGTTGTCAGTCCGCCCCTGGTACATACCTTCTGTTAAGAGGTTGGAGGGGGTAAAGAATAGATTACAAGTGCCAGTGAGCCCCTTTGCGGTGGTGCAGATGACATATATATAAAATAAACCCTCAAATGGTGTCTATTAGATCCTCAACAAACAACACCATCAGATAAATATCAATTGCGTGCGCGAGCGAGTGAGGACTTGTAACTTGTACAGCTGCGCTAAATAATAAAAAAAAACAAAACATGAGTCACTTTAACCATACAGTATATTTGTAAAGTATTTTTAAAAATATTTTTCCCAATTCACAGATCCCAAAGGGTATTTGTAACGGTGTATATATATAAAATAAACCCTCAAAGTGTCATAGTCCAAACAACACCACAGCATTGCGCGTACTTGGAGGTAAATAACATAAAAAAAAACTATTAAAACATGTAAGTCAAAACTTAAATAAATGAAAAAATATATATAGCGCGACCCTTTTACATATATACAGTTGGCCGTTGGCAAATGCATTCCAAAAAAGGTATTGCATTATGTTTTGCTATACACATGTTTATTCCCTTTGTGTATTTTTTAAAAAAGGCAGAAAACAAATAGTATACACAAAACCCCAAAAATTGGACAAAAGTATTGGTAAAGTTACCCTTTGGAAAACATAACTGAAAAATATTTTTCTGACATATTTTGGACCACTCTTCCTTTGCAAACAGCTTTTGTAAGGACACCTTTTCCCAAAAGCAATGTATTCTCCACATGCATGGGATTTAGATATCATTGCTGGCCACTTACTCTAGCGCTTCTTTGCCATCCATTTCTGAGTGCTTTTATATGTTTGGGGTCATTGTATGGAAGACCCAGGATTAGCTTTCTATACAGTGCGACCCAAAATCCTTTGGTAATATCATGAGCGCACAAAGGGTGCCATGCTCCACCAGCGCTGTAGGCCTCAGTAAGCATAGAATATATATCTTGGTCTCATCTGTATATCCCAGAAGGCTTTTGGCTTAAAATAAACCCTCAAAGTGGTGGGTCTATTTTACGGATTCCTCCAAACAACACCATCAGATATAAATCATTGCGCCTATGTACTTGGAGGTAGAATAACATAAAAAAAACTTGAAGTGGGTGCTGCTATTATATAACCACTGTAACTTATAATCAAAACTTGTGATAAATAAGTTGTGAAAGGGTATCTCTCTCTTACTATATAATAAAATGAATCAAAAGTGCCATGGGTTGCAAATGTGGACAAAGGCAAATCTAGTTCTCTGGAGATGGACTTGTAACCTTGAGATTGTTGATATTTTGCCACAATTTTGGTTCTCAGGTCCTCAGACAGTTCTCGTCTCCTCTTTCTGTTGTCCAAGTGTGGCACAGACAGACACACAATGCAAAGGTTAAGTGAACGTCTCTCCTTTTTATCTGCTTTCAGGTGTGATTTCTATATTGCCCACACCTGTTACTTGCCCCAGGTGAGTTTACAGGAGCATCACATGCTTGTAACATTCTTATTTATCCGCAGTTGTGAAAGGGTGCCAATACTTTTGTCCAGCCCATTTTTGGAGGTTTGTGTGAATTATGTCGAATTTGCTTTCTTTCTCCCTTTTTTTGTTTTGTCCCAATACACACAAAGGGAATAAACATGTGTATAGCAAAACATGTGTTATGCAATACGTTTCGTGAGAAATACATATTTCCTGGAGAAAATCAAGGGGGCCAACAATTTCGGCCATGACTGTATTTATATATATATATATATAGTGGTGGTATTAATATTCATTAATATTTATCATTTATATATTTAAGGGTCGTGCTATTATTTGTGGTATATATATTTTTATTTTATTTATCACAATTTTTGAATATATAATATATAATATAATAATACATTATATAAATAATAATATATATAAATATTATATATAAATATATATATATATATATATATATTGAAATATATTTTGAAATAGATTGAATATGACCAAGATTGTAGCATTTCAAATGTCAATATATTTGGGAAGAATATTTTTAAGATATATTTCAAATATATTTTTCTTCCATATGAGGAGAAATGCAAAAATGTGATTTATGTTACACCCTAAACATTGATATAACATGAAGCACGGCCCCAAAGTCGGAGTATGCCTTTAAACTTTTTCTGCCGGCGGCCTCTGCAGAATCACTTGGGTCTCTTACATGGAAACAATCCATAAATCATCTTCCTATTCATTTCAGAGCAGCACACGGAGGGGTTAATGCAGCACACCGAGCGGCCTATGATACTACTAGGGTCTATTTTTAGCGCAGAGCACTTGGGGCGGTGTACTGTAGCGGGAGCTGTCCACTCAGCACCGCCATCCCTCCTAACCGCCGGACAGACGTGTGCACCATTATTAACACCCCCATCAGACTGAGCACGGCTTATCGGATATTATTTTATGATGCAATATGATTACTAACATAGCCGCTTCATTGGAGTTTAAAGGAATCCTCCGCTCAAAAATGCCTGAATGCTATACAAACCATTTGATATTTTATTACCATTTTAAACAATTTTTTTTTTCTACAAAACTAGAGTTTCATTTTAAGCAGGTGATGACCTCTGATATACTTCTTATGATTTCCAGTCCTTTCCAGCAATACATATCTTTTGAGACCTATCAGCAGCAAATTCCCCACCAACTGGGGCAAAAAACAGATGTTTCATCCATGCGTGCTATAATGTATACAAAATGTAATACGTTGTTATGAGCTGACCCTCTCAGGAGCATCTACACGCACACATGCACACACACACACATATATATATATATGTGTGTACAGTACATATATATATATATATATATTTTTTTTTTTTTTATATATATATATATATATATATATATATATATATATATAAAAATATATATATATATTATTATATTATTATATTACAGGATTTATATAGCACCAACAGTTTGCTCAGCGCTTTACAATATAAGGGAGACCGTACAATTACAATACATTTCAGTACAGAAGGAATAGCAGGGCCCGGATCGTGGAGCTTACAATCTACAGGAAGGGGGTGGGGATATAAAAGGTGATAGCTGCGGGGGATGATCTGATGAAGATGGCTCAAGTACAGTTCTTAGGTGGAGGTGGAGTAGACTTCCCTGAAGAAGTGAGTTTTCAAAGATCGCCTAAAGGCAGACAGGGTGGGGGCTGACCGGACATACTGCGGTAGGAAGTTCCAGAGGATGGGAGAGGCTCTGGAGAATACCTGGAGGCAAGCGTGGGAGGAGGTGATGAGGGAGCTAGAGAGGAAGATATCTTGCGAAGAGCGGAGTGGACGGTATCTGCGGATGAGGTTGGCGATGTAGCTAGGGGCAGTGTTGTGGATGGCTTTGTAAGCTGTGGTTAGTATTTTGAATTTGATACGTTGGGTTAGTGGAAGCCAGTGAAGGGATTGGCAGAGAGGGGCAGCAGTTGCTGATTGGTTGGTAAGGTGTATGAGTCTAGCACAGCAGCAGTTGCTGACTGCCCGAGGGCCCGGGGTTCAGTAAGGTGTATGAGATGCCTCTGGTAGCAGCAGTATGCTTTTTTGGTTGGTAAGGTGTATGAGTCTAGCAGCAGTTGCTGATTGGTTGGTAAGTTGTACGAGTCTAGCAGAAGCATTCATAATAGACTAAAGGGGGGATAACCTGTGTAACGGTAGACCAGTGAGGAGGGAGTTGCAGTAATCAAGGCGGGATATAACCAAGGCGTGGATGAGTTGTTTTGTGGTGTCATTGGTCGGGAAGGGCGGATTTTGGAAAATGTTCCAGAGGTTGAGGCAGCAGGATTTAGCCAGTGATTGGATGTGGGGCCCAAAGGAGAGGTCAGAGTCTAGGATTACGCCTAGCACCCTGGCATGAGGGGAAGGACCAATGGTTGTGCTGTTGATTTTAATGGTAAAGTCGTGAGTGGGGAATCGGGGGGGAGGTAACATTACAAGTTCTTCAGTTTTTGAAAGACTGAGTTTAAGGTAGTGATGTGACATCCATGCTGATATGTCAATTAGTGTATATATATATATATATATATACACACACCATATAAACGTCTTAATATAACAGATAATATATACTGTAGGTAATAGTATAGTTGGTAGATAACTTTGCCATGCTTTGGGCCAGGGACATAACTGTGGTAAACAGGGAAAACTGTAAGATAACATTAACATGTAATTATATATTTTTATTATTATTATTGTTATTATATTAATGCAGTACAAAACCCTAATATATATTATATAGAAATATACATCTTTTTACAATATATTTATTAATTTAACATATAATTATATATATTACTAAGTAATATTAATATTAATACAATACAAAACCCTATATATATATATTAATACAATACAAAAAAATAATATATTTTACAATATATAAAAAAAATATTTTTACAAATATATTATTCAACATTAATGGGGGGGGGAAATTAATATTATATTCAAGTTAGACTTAAGTAATCGCATTGTTTAAGGGCCTTTTTAATTTTATTTACAAGAAAGTTCAAATAAACAAAAAAATCCATCATCAAGCAAATAAATATATTCATGCACGCAGTTTTAAGTCTGCCTCCTACAAAATATATATATTCAGCATAAAATTCGGGGTATATTATTACAGAATATTAGGACTCTATAAAAAATTCATTCGGAGATTTCATCCCTATCTCTTTGAAATATTAGATCCCAAAAACAAACTTTAAATAAATGGGAAACTGAAAAGTCAGTTTCCTCTGCAATACATTAACTCTCTGGATCAATATATCAATTATATATATACAATATATATATATATATATATATTTTTTTTTTTTTTTTAAATATACATTTATTTATTTATATACAAATTAGTATTATTGAAAATGCAATACAAACCCTTATATTATATATACAAATATCTATTCTTACAATATCATTATAGATAGACTTGTTTCAACTGTCTTAAACTATCACATTAAAAAAAAAAATATATATTAATTTATTTATTTTTGTTTTTTTTAGATAAGTCATAAAAGACAATACCAAAAGAATGCCTTGTTTCAATAGCAGCTGTATGTTACTGGTCAGGCTGGGTTTCCTGCTGCTGACAATAGCAGAATGTGCCTGTGCTATGACCATGGCCA